GCAGGGGCAACCCCACCACAACCAGGTTTTGGATACCTGACACTAAGATTATTTTTTTTTGTTACTTGCACGTTGTATTTTAAGATGTTTTAGTTTTGACTAAAATTGTGATGTACTAAGGTAATGGGAAAGGAAGGCGAGAAACATGGGTGGAAAGAGGGAATACAGGTAAGACTTTATTGACTGATTTTGCATTTGGTTTGATATCCTTGGAGTACTTAATTTTAGGTCATTTTTTGTCCTCTTGAAAAAGTGTGTACCCATATGCGTTCTTTGTCACAGTAGTTAAAATGCCTTAGCTGTATTTGATTCCATATTTGTTATTTTCTTCTGGTTTATTTGAATCCACTGCATCACTTGAATATTTCATATTCATATAGGCACAGTAAATAATTGGGAATTATATATGTAAAATGAAACTGCTATCTAGGCTTCGGAAGCAATTTCTTGTAGTTTTTTTTCTTCCACATCTTCTGAGGTTTTTTGTATAACATGTTAATTACTACACGTAGAGTTTTTGAGGGAAAGTTTATGCCTTGAATCTTTGGGCAAAACACAGCCTTCAGTATTAAACTTTTTTTTAATTTTTTGGGGAAAGAAAAGCAGTAATAATCTGACTTGGTACTGAATCTTTCTCCTGCCATATCAAAACACATGCCCTTTGCTCCCCAAGAATATGCATATTTGGCCACACTTTGCACATTTACTTTTCTGCCCAAGCTTTTGTTCTTCCCTCCTTCTTGTGATTTCTGGTCTCTTGACATTTTGTCATATTTTCTTGTTCATATGTCTAACTCTTTCTAGGTAGGTATAGAGAGTGCCTTACTGCATTCTTTGCTCTGGCAGATGATTATTAGTGATTTAAATCCTTAATCCTGTATCCTTAGCTTTATGGCTAGAAGGATTGACTGAAAGTAGCAGCTCCCAGCTGGGAGTTGAATTTGCATTGTGTTAGACCATCTATTCCTTTCTGATAAAGGTGAAAAATCTAAACCACTGTTCACAAATATAGTCTCTGATTATGTCTAATCTTCTCATCAGTTCTTTCCATTGAATTACTAGTATTGCCTGCCAGGCATCAATTCTGAGTGCCTAAAACTTTGACTGGGCTTGGGGAGCTTTCTTAATTTCACAGAATACTTTCTTAATATTATTGATGTGTGTTTATTGGCCTAAACCGCTTTACAAAAAGCTACAAAGACTGTCAGCACAGCTGGCAGATCCATAGTCACTGTTGTCAGATTCAGTTCTGGACCTGACCTTCCTTTAGATTATGATAGCGGGTAGAACTTGATAGAGTATCTCCCTTTTCAGGGCTTCCAAGGCCCTGAAAGAGCTTCAGGCTCTTCACCTCCAAGCCTGGTAAGCTCTGACATAATCAAGGATGCTTCAGCCATTCTCAGACTTTTTGCTAGTTTTAATCTGTACCTGTTTAGGAATGCCCTGGGTTTGGTTTTGCGGGTTTTTTTTCCCCCAAAAAAGGTTAACCATGGGAAGGAGAGGAAATAGTAGTTGTTCCTCCTAGTTCTTCTTCTGATTATTCCTAGGTAATGTTGCTGAGCATTCATGTTAGAATTATAGAGTTTGAGATTAGAATGGACCTCTGGAGATCATCTAGTCCAACATCCTTGCCCAAAGCAGAGTCAGCTAGAGCAGGGTTTTGAATATCTCCAAGGACGGAGATTCCACAGCCTCTCTGGGCAACATGCTCCAGTGTTCAATCACACTTACAGCGAAAGTAAAAAAATAAAATTAAAATAAAATTAAAAAAATCCTGCTGTTTAAGAGGCATTTCTTGTATTTCAATTTATACCATTGCCTTTTGTCCTATCACTGAGCACCACTGAGAAGAGTCTGTCACCATCGTCTGTCAGGTATTTATATACATTGATAATATTTCCCCCATGCCTTCTCTTCCTCAGGCTAAACAAACCCAGCTCTTGCAGCCTCTCCTGTATGACAGATGCTCCAGTCCCTTAATCTTTGTGGCCCTTCAGTGGACATGCTCCACCATGTCTGTGTCTCTGTTGTATTAGGGAGCCCAGCAGTGGACTCAGCACTCCAGATGTGCCTCACCAGTGCTGCGCAGAGAGGATTGATCACCTCCCTTGACCTGCTGCCAGTGCTTTTACTGGTGCAGCCCAGGAAGCAGTTGGCCTTTGTTGTAAGCACACATTGCTGATTTCTGTTCAACTTGTCAACATCAGCACCTTTTCTACAAAGCTGCTCTCCAGCTGATTGACTCCCAACCTGTCCTAGAGCATGAGGTTATTCTTTTCCAGGTGCAGGACTTTGTATATCCCTTTGTTCAACTTCATGAGATTCCTGTTGGCACATTTCTCCAGCTTGTCAAGGTGCCTCTGAACAGCAGCACAACTGTCTGGTGTTATCAACAACTCCTGATGTGGCTGCAAAATTGCATGTACTCTTGACTCATTGTTAAACAGTTTTGGCTCCAGTACTTACCTCTGGGGTACACCACTACTGTCTTGATTGTCCCACTCCACACTGCACTGATGGGGCCCCACCTTGAGTACTGTGTGCAGTTTTGGCACCTCAATACAAGGAGGACATTGGACTATTAGATTGTGTCCAGACAGGGCAACCAAGATAGTGAGAAGTCTCAAGGGCAAGACTTACAAGGTGCAGCTGAGGTTTGTTCAGCTTGGAGAAGAGAAGGCTGAGGGGTGACCTCATTGCAGTCTACAACTTCCTCAAGGGGGGACAGTGGAGGGGGAGCTGCTGATGATCATTATGGGTTCCTTCTAACCCGAGATATTCTATGATTCCAAGTCATAGGTTTTTTTCTGTTGTCTTCTTCCATTTGGAAAATGTCTTGCTAAGCTTAGTGCTATGTTTGAGTATTGCTTCAGTCACGGAAGCTTTTTATGTCATCCAACAAGGCACTTTCAGTTAGTGCAGTATTCTGCTATCACTTCGTTCACCCTTGCAATTTCTTCAGTAATCTGTCTAATTGGAGTCTACTTTAGTAGGAAGTGAACTCTTATGCCTCTGTTTACCGAGTTGTGGTGGGTTGACCTTGGCTAGCTAACAGATGCCCTCGAAGCTGCACGCTCACTCTCCATCTTCAACTGGACAGAGGAAAGAAAAACTGACAAAAGGCTCATGGGTCGAGATGAGGACAGGAGATGATAAAATATCTCATGTTGAAAGGGACCTATAGGGCTCATCGAGTCCAGCTCTGTGGTCTTGCAGGACTATCTAAAACTAAACCATACGACTAAGAGTGTCATCCTGATGCTCCCTGAATTCTAACAGGCTTGGTGCCACGACCACTTCCCTCAGCCTTCTCTTCTGTAAGCTGTACAAACCAGGATCACTCAGCAGTTACTGTCATGGGCAAAACAGACTTGACTTGGGGAAATTAATTTCATTTATTGACAATTAACAACAAACTAGGATACTGAGAAATAAGAACAATCTTAAAACACCTTCCCTCCACCCCTCCCTTCTTCCCAGGCTCCGCTTCACTCTGGACTTCTCTACCTCCTCCTCCCAAGCAGTCCAGGGGGATGGGGAATGGGGGGTTGCGGTCAGTTCATCACACGTTGTTTCTGCTACTTCTTCCTCCTCATGCTCTTCCCCTGCTGCAGCATGGGGTCCCACCCATGAGAAATAGTCCTTCCCATGGGCTGCAGTTCTTCATGAACTGCTTCACCATGGGTTGTTTCCATGTGATGCAGTCCATCAGGAATGGATTACTACAGCGTGGATCCCCTATGGGTCCACAGGTCCTGCCAGAAGACCCTCTCCAGGGGAGCACAGCTTCCTTCAGGACACATCCATCTGCTCCGGTGTGGGGCCCTCCATGGGCTGCAGGTGAATATCTGCTCCACCATCAACCTCTATGAGCTGCAGGGGGACAGCCTGCCTCACCATGGTCTCCATGGGCTGCAAAAGGAATCTGCTCTAGCACCTGGAGCACCTCCTCCTCCTTCTTCACTGACCTCAAAGAAGGTTAGTGTGTCTGCAGAGTTGTTTCTCTCACACGTTCTCACTCTCTTCCATGTGTTGTTGTGCAGCAGTTTTTCTCCCTTCTTAAATATGTTATCACAGAGGTGCTACCAACTGTCACCGATGGGCTTGGCCTTGGGCAGTGGCAGGTTTGTCTTGAAGCCGTCTGGGACTGGCTCTGTTCAACAGAGGGGAAGCTTCTGGCATCATCTCACAGAAGTCACTCCTTTCCCCCACTACCAAAACCTTGCCATATAAACCCAATACACAAGTCACTTTACATCCTTGAGGATCCTAGTTCACAACAAGAGGAGAACCACAACCCCTTCTCAAAAGACCCCAAGATAGGATTCAGTTAAATTAGGTCTGAAACCAATTTAGACATCTACACAGGAGCCTAATCTGTACAAGTCCTGGGAAGGATTTAACTGCCTAAGTATAAGTGAATGATCCATGCTGCATTAAATGGCTTAAGTTGCTTCAGACATCCACATGGGGCTGGCACGTAAAACACAGGATCTGTCGTAGATCTCTGCCTTCTGGAAAACCATCTGAGTGTTTAAAATTTGCTCTGTGCTTGGGTAGTGGCATACTGCGCCTAGTCAATGCAGTCAACAGAACAATTCAGCTTCATAAAGAAGTTACTAAACAGCTAATCACCTGAATCATTCTCCAGGCAATAAGTCAACAGAACAATTCAGCTTCATAAAGAAGGTACTAAACAGCTAATCACCTGAATCACTCTCCAGGCAATTGGCGTCCTATGGACTTAAATATATGAATTGAGATGTCTCAGTTTGTGAGCTGAAATCCAACTTCAATATGTGAACTGCAGTACAGATCCAGAATGGTAACTGTCTAGGATTTTTCTAGCTCTGCAAACCAGAGATTATTCAAACCATTTTCCTGTTGCTATGAAAGTATTATACTTCTGTTGCAAGTCCTTCTGTTTGGGATTTTGCATCCTGAGGAAGTATAGTTCTAGTGACAACCCACCTCGTGTATTCTCTAGTTTCCCTGCCTGGCTCATTTTGCTAATGGTAGATTTCTTGTTGCAACATGTCTAACATGCCCCCAGTATCTGTGCTGGACCTTTTTCTTACTTTCTGTGTCTAATTCTAAAATGCTAATAGTCATACCAAATATCAATATGACGTATGAATTGCCTTGAGATGAAACTGAACTTCTATATATCAGGGATAATACTCCCTTTTAGTGTCTGCAGGCTTGTTCTGCAGTTCTGAGGAAAAGTATACTTAATTCTTTTTAGAGTACACATCCCAGAGTGTACCTCCATAGTAGCTTAAGCTGGTGGAACTCCAAGTTGCAATGAACCTGTGTTGCCATGGGTTAGCGTTCTTATTTTCCTCTCCAGAGTATGAATGCTCAGTTGCAATGAACCTGTGTTGCCATGGGTTAGCATTCCTATTTTCCTCTCCAGAGTATGAATGCTCGAGCAGCTATGTCATGGGTTGATTGAAGGAGATAGCTGATCAGTTTTTTTCCTAGTAAGATTATTTTTCAGCCAGATTAACTGCCTGAATTTGTTCATCATATGCAAGGATGAAGGGGAGGGTCAGGAATGGACATGTACAATTACAAGGTCATGTAGTGATAGAATGAGGGGTAACGGCTTTAGGCTGAAGAAGGGTAGATTTAGATTAGGAAGAAATTCTTCATTGTGAGGGTGGTGAGGCACTGGAACAGGTTGCCCAGACAGGTTGTGGAGGCCCCCTCCCTGGAAGTGTTCAAGGCCAGGTTGGATGAGGCTTTGGGCAACCTGGCCTAGCGGAGGGTGTCCCTGCCCATGGCAGGGGGGTTGGAACTAGATGATCTTTGAGGTCCCTTCCAACCCAAACCACTCTGTGATTCTATGAATGCAGTATCCTGGTTCTAGATCAGACTAAACTGATATGGAATTGCCCATTTATGCTTCAATGCAAGATCAGGGAGTTCACTTTTTCTGTCTTCCCAGACTGTGCTATTCAACACAGAGTAATGTTTCTCAGAGGCTTATTTTCAGGCTGCATTAGTGGAGTGATCCTCTGTATTTATATTGCTCTGTGATTTCTGAAAACATTCTTGCTGAGGTGGAGTTTTCAATCAAACAGCTGGAGACCCCTGCAGAGCATATATTATTGTGTTTTAGAGGTACCCTCTTCTTCCTTGCTAACCTTCTGTGTGTGTATACAACTGGTAAAGTCACGTGTACTATGCCCACAAGCGCAGCAGTACAAGATACTCAACTCTCTGTTAATGCATTAGCCCTGAAAATTACAAGTTCGCAATCTTATTCACCTATCTCCGGTTTACCTCTCATGCTACTGAGAATGTTGATAACAGTAATTGTTTCAGATCCATTGGTCACAAGCAGCAGATTAGAGGTACTTACTATCATTTTCGGGATCAGGGTCAATCTGTGGAAATCTAAGGCAAAAAAGAATTGGTTGAACTGCTGAAAGCTACTTTGTGACTTTTCTTCATCTGCCTTGATGCTGGGATTGTAGTAGATGAGATGAGTGTGAGTTTGGCCTCATCTTTGCCTTGTTGAGGCAGGAGCTGTAGGTCAAGACTCCCTTGACCTTTTGGTTTGTCAGGGATGTTGATGGAAAAGTGCACCACTGTGACTCCAACATATGTTTTATACCACTGAAATTGGAGATAAGTGACTTTTTTCATTCAATTTTTTTCTTTCTTGGTAGAAGAAGCTCTCATTGATAACAGGAAGGATTCTATCAGACCTGTAGACAAGGGTCTTGACACTGTATTTAGCCTTTAGGTCTTGATTTTTATGATCTTCTGAATTACTTCTTGACCTGAGGGCATTTAAGCTATCAGTCCCACCAAAGGGCAGTTTCTGCCCATATGCTTCCTTCCCTCTACCCATACTCTATGATATTCCAGCTCAAAGTGTGTCTGGCATTATCAGCGTTGTTGTCTCTATTTTGTCATAGGTCTGACCATAACTGTTGGTCCGGCTCTCAATGGAAGTGCCTTTGAACCTCTGTTAATTGTTCAGTGCACCTTTTGAACATCCGCCATTGTGCTCTTTACTGTTGCATCTCCTTATTAATTTTCCTGATTTTTTTTTTTTTTTTGCTAGAAAGCTGACAGGTACAAAGGACTCTTGTAACTGGCTGACTTGCCCTTATGTATGATCAAACTTTTCAAAGTCTCAGAAGCTGGATGCCTTCATTTCATCAGTAAGATGAGCCAGAGTGAGGCTGGCTGTAGAGATGCTGTGCAAGGCTCTAATTCCATGGGCAGATCTTGCTGATTCCGGAAAAACAAGGCCTTATTTCTTCCATCCACAGCCTTCCACTGCCTTTTCTTGCAAAAATTCTGTTGCTTATCATGTTTGTCTTCACCATTTCTGACTTGCTACAATGGAAGAAAACTAGTTTAGGAAAAAAACTGAATAGGTTTTTTTTTTTTCTGTTTTCATGAATTAAAGCAGCTCCAGGAGGTTTGCAGTATTACCTTTCATGAGGCAATAGGAAAGGAATTGTTGTTGCTCATCAGAACATTTCTTCTCCTCGGTGGCCCAGCTGTTCTCTGTGACTTTGTTCAAAAATGTTTCCGTATCCAAAGCTGGCAGAGGAGTTGTGCTATTTTATTTGTACGTTCACTGTCATTACAATGTCATCCTGGAATGACATTGCACTTGACAGAGCTCTGATGGTGTGGCCTTGATGAGGGTGCCTGAGTTGCACAGTCCCTTATTATGGGATACTACTTGAAGTCACACCAAAACAGAATGGACATTGAAAAAAATGCACGCAGATATGTAATCCATATGTTCATTTGTTTTGTGTTTTCTCTTCAATATAAATAACAGTAATGCTTGAATTCGGTTTAAAAATTAAGAATCTTCTTTTTTTTTTTCTTGCAACAATCTCATCTATGTTTTTTAAAATTAAAGGTGTAATTCCTTTTGACCTTTAAGCTCTGTATTTACTGATTTTTGAGGTGGCTCTTAAATTGGATATTCCTCCGGGGTTTGACTTTTTTTTCTTTTTTCCTCTTTTCCCCTCCTAACAGGGAAGAAGATTCTTGAGCTTTTTGTTCAGCTGGAATGTAAACTTCATTAAAATGATACATGGAACCGTTAAAAACCAATTACAATATTTTCCAAGGTATGTATCACAGTTAGAGTTCTTAATGATTGTTAAGAGCTTGGCTAAAATCTTGTTTGTCTCATGCTCTGAAATACCTAGTATATTGATAAAATATATCAGAATCCAGAGATCTTCAAATCTGCGATATAAGTACTGTATTGTTTCAGCAACTTCATTTAATGGTTGCTCTGCACATGCCTATGTGTACAATTATGAGTGTAGTAAAATGCTTATTTAGTATTAGCTAAAGCAAATGACTTTCATAAAAACCGTGCTGCCTTACTTGCAGTGTTTGTATGAGAATTGCAGGTCCATTTCTACTTCTGTAAGGTGTTTTTATTTTCTCCTGTGAGCAACCTCTAATTTAATTTGGTAAGATTCTATATAGAGACATTATAATAATAAGTGACTTGCAGGATCATAGCCTGAGAACTTAACTGCTGGATGAAAAACATAGTTTGTTTTTTTTTTTTCTTTTGATTATTCAGTGAAATATGACAGAAGTAGTTCTTCATATTAAAATCAGAGGCTTTCTAATGCTTTCAGTTAGAATAATGTATACCTGTACATCTTTATAAAGAGTTTAAGACATTCATTGTGAGATAAATGATAAAAAATTGTGCTAATGTTTTGACTTTTCCACCATAAGACATATTTCCCATGTTTTTTTAATATGGCTTGGGTTCATTAATTAACAATTAACTTTATTTTTGCATAATTATCAGTGTAGACTTTAAAGTTATTTGCTGCTTCTAAAAATAATGTTGATGCACAGAAGTAAAATAATACTGGTACTTATAAAAAACTTCATGTTATTACCTTTATGAATTTTATATAGATATGGTTAGGATGCTTGTGTGAAAGTGTTTCTCATATGTTAATACAGATCCTTGATGGAATACGTTTCAGAAGTTTACTTCAGAGCCTGGAAGAAGGTGTCAGGAGAATTCTTAGAGGTAATACTATGCTTGAAATTTCATTTGGATAGTTTTGAATTGTAAGGTGGAGAAGATACATGACTTTTCAACCCCGGAAAGGTTCCTAAGCAAGCCTTAAGGAATTATTTCCCAAAGGAAAGGGCCTCCTCAGCATTGTCAAGGAATAAGAGCATGTCATACTTTGAATGTTTGACCATTGTGATCAGCTTGGTTGCATCTAAACATCTTTAATTCTTCTGCTGAAATATTGATTCACTCAACCATGCACATACACAAAGATTTTTGTAAACACACTAGTTATCTGGGTTATTGAAGCTTTTCTTCAGTATGTGCAAGTCTGTATATTTGATAGCTTAGATATTTGTCTAGTTTTTGTGGATTTCCGTGGACACGATCAAGAGCATAATTTCAGTATCACAACAATGCTACAGCCAAATTTCAGATACCATGTAATTCTTATTTACCATGTGGAGGTGCTTTTGAATTCCAAACTTGGTTCTGAGAATCTGATTAATTGTATATTCTGAAATTTTGAAAATCAGTTTAAGCAGACAGAGGCCCCTAGCATGGAGAAATTTGGGCAGGCAGAAGCCAAGCAAAAAATTAATATCAAAGACTATTTTCAGTTGTTTGTTTCAGAGAAAAATATAAGTTGCTGCACAGCTGACAGTACTTATTATTGTTTTACTGTGTGTTAACAGTAGCATGTGTGTTTTTACTGTAGATACTTGAACATAGCTGCATTCAGGATTTCATGCATCATGGAATCCATCTTCCCAGAAGTTCTTCTGTTCATTCTAAAGTTAGAGAGGTAAGTTCCTGTAAAGCATGACATGAACTAGTAGCATCAGAATCAGATCAGTTACTATAAAGTAGAAAATTTCCATTTTATACTGAAATACTATAATAGATCTGGCTGGAATGGAATTACTTTTCTTCATAGCAGCCCATATGGTGCTGTGTTTTGGATCTGTTGACTAAAAACAGTGTTGATAACACAGCAGTGTTTTGGCTGTTGCTGAGCAGTACTTGCATGGTGTCAAGGCTTTCTCTTTCCTGTTCTGTTTCCCTAGCGAGTAGGGGATAAGCAAGAAGTTAAGAGGGGGACACAGGTGACCCAAACTGACCAAAGGGATATTACATGCCATATAACAGCATGCTCAGCAATAAAAACTGAGGGAAGTGGATTTGGGGGAGATAGCCAGTGCTTTCTCTTCCAATTCTCTTCCCTACCCCACTGGGAGGGGAGTGAGTGGCTGTGTGGTGCTTAGCTGGTGACTGGGGTCAACCCACCACAGATACTTACTTAAAAAAAAGTATATTCTGAGAAACTATTAGACCAAATTTTAGGAGGAACCTACTTATAGTTTTGCACCAGATTTGTCTTTGGTGCTCAAAAGTAGAAATAGAAGGCGATTTTTCAGAGTGCCAGAAATGGATTTTGCTGTCTGTTGTCTAAGTTTTTCTTTACCTAGAGAATCGACCTCTCCATAGCAGATCACAGGGACAAAAAGTCATAAGCTCCTTGAGGGAAAATTAGTAGATGGGACTAGAACTAAACTTGCTTTTTCTTTTTTTTGTTATATATGGGGGTTTTGTATATACGTTTATAGGGAAAAGTCTAGATTCAGTTACAGATTCTAGTTGTCTATCTGTGATTTTTATTCATGAACAAAACATCAGAAGCAGAATGAGAAGTGCACAAAGATTTTAAGACAAGGCATTTGTATTTGATCTATGCCCTTTCATGTCCCATGCTTTCCCCCAAATATACAGATACTGGAGTGTATATATGTGCAATATATAGATTGATATACCAATCTACAATCCTATATTTGTTTATTTTTATTTGAATTTTTGGGTTTTGCTTTGGTTTTAATCAAATGTAAACAGATAACTCATATCTATAGCAGATTCTTTTGTCCTTTGATTCCTGATTGATAGAGTAGGCTTTTGACAGGGTGTTTCATGTTTTTCGGACTCAGAAGCTTACAATCCTGAAAGAGGACAGTGGTATAAATGAATCTGTCTTTGAGTCATGAGGGGAGTGGGTCTCGGAATAAATTTGAATGGTGCGTTCTTTTTCAGTATGCAAGAATTGATTTAATAGTGTCCTCTAGAATCCAGAAGTTCCTGTAGCAATTAGAAGAGTAACCAACCACAGTCATTCACTTGAGCAAAGTTTAGGCTCTTATTGAAAGAGTAGGGGAAAATGGGAAAGCAACACGTATAACTCTTCCTTCTGAATTCAAAGTTCTGATTATAAAACCTATGTGCATTTTGCAAATATCTGATACTCACTGTTCTAATAAAATCTATTACAAAACAGTACTGGTTTGCCATTAGTCCTGGGATAGATTCGTCATTCTCATGTAGAATTAAGAGCTACATAGTCTCTTATAAATTCTATCATGTATTCAGTATATTTCAAAATCAAGG